CTTCCCAGCCCTCGCCTCCCACAAAGTGCACCCATGCTTGTTTCCAACATCCTCTTTCCAGGCCTCGCTTCTAACTGGGCAGGATCTCAGGTCCTCAGCATCTATAAACATGGCTATTGGCTAAAAATCTAAGGTTTCGTGTTATGTCCAATCTTTTCTAAGCGGCAAACTGAGCAATTTTCGGGGGCGAGGTGAAAGGAAGCTAGCTCGGGAGGGTGGTGAACTCACGTGTCTAGCACCCCCAGACAGAAAGTCTTATACAGGATGGTTTCCTTCTCTATAAGCTTATACCCTGTATCTTTCCATAGAGTCTCTACTTTGGGTTCTGGAGTTAGGAGAATTTGACCAGCTCAGTAAGCGTCCAAATAAGTGATTTCTACTCCCGCCTCTTTAACATGCAATTGCCAAATAAACAAACCTACAAAGGCAAGGCAGCAATGTGTCTTCTGAAACCAGATATTTAAGGCCTGATTTGGAGTTGTCTTCCTATGGGACCCCAGCTCTCGGGTTCAAAGTCGACAATCATTTGTATGAATGCCATGGTGTATTTATGTGAGTGGTTACAGCTGTTTGAGTTTCTTCCTCACCAGTGTTTGGGGATCAGTGAGTGGGCCGAGCCAGGACCCAACCCCTGCAAGTTCACAGAGGCCTCAAACTCTGACAAGCACAAGTTTCCATCTTTAAGACTGACAGGTATACCTAGAGATTGAAAATCAACCTCCAGAATATTGCTTTCCCAAACATTATATGTTTATTTAAAACTCTGAATGCTGTGTTGGCTCTAGCCTTGAATCTCTGCACATTTCGAGGGATTCGGTACTTCATGATAACTAAAACATATGGAAATGGTACAAATCCAACATGAAAGGCATTGTTTTTCCTTCTAAAGGGACTGATTCCATATTCCACATTTTAAAACTCTCACCTGGGTTAGAAATTTAGATATGTCCTTTACTGATGAGATTTGGAAACACGTTGAAAGCTTATTTTTAAACAATAGAGACATACTTTTACAACACTTTAAGAAGTTTTGATTCTTTGATAACTCACAAAGTTTTTTCCCTATGCAATTGTTCATTATGTCTCTAATGTGTCATTCACTTGGCTATAGTGGTTGGATTTTTCTGTAACGTTTTGATACATTATTTTCTTCACATTTCTGACTTCAAGTTAGTAACCAGATTGTCCTATATTTTATTGCATTCCTTTGTTGTAGTCTCTGAAGGCACTTTTTTTTTTCTTGTTCTTTATCCTCACCTTTTACTCCAAATTTCCATATTTCTCTTTATCTCTGATCCTCTTCTTGGGAAACGTGATAGAGTGAGCAAAGTCTGACAGGCTGATTTAGACATCTCAGAGGGTTGATTCAAAACAGCAGTTCTCTCTGTCAAACACACTTCCGTGGTGCTGCCTGCAAATACAGAAGAGGGATGAGGAATGGGGGGCTGGGAAGGGGTGGGAACCCAAAGCCGGGCAATGACCACAGAATGACAGATTGCAGTGAATCCTTCCTTTTGCTAACCTCTTTGCACAGATCATTTGTGTGTCAGTTCTAGTTTAATCTTCCAGGTGACTCATGCTTGGGCAGATTCCGTTATCCCTGGTGCCAGCTTACTCCGAAATATGCTGAGCATCAGCCTCACAGGTGTGAAGAGGAAAGGAGTAATTAGAGATTATCCAACAGACTGTGCAGAGTGCTCCATGAATGTAAGGTAAACAAACAAAACAAAATTAGCCAAATCCTCTCTGCAAATAAAAAAGTCATCCCTCCAATATTTGCCTAGAGAGGAGGCAGACCTGACTGGAGAAGCAGGCGGTTTTGTCTGCGGAGCGTTCTCTCCCACCGACCACAGCAAATATTTCCTGTGCTTTCCGTCTCCAGGGTCAATTTCAGTCCTTTTACAAAGGCTCAATTTACGTTAGCAAATTCCAACTCATGAAAGCTCAGTTGTTCCCCTCGCAATCTAAAAATGGAAACCTCTAGTTTGCTGCTCTGGGCTGTTTAGTTGAAGGACAGCGTCATGGGGTTTGCTCTGCGTTCTGCTGTGTTTGAAGCAAAAACCGCCACAGGGCCCTCGAGCTCCTGGAAGGAGCAAGCTTGCTCTGTCTAGGCTGTCTCCTTCCGGTTCGTGTGATGGCAGCAGAGAAGTCAGGCCACGTTCATTCACACTCATACCATCTGGGCTCTAGGAACTTTGTTTCTTGTTGCCATTGTTCATCCTGGGAGGCACCTGCCTGCACCTCGGCTCCTCCCTTTCTCTGCCTCCCCTTTCTTTCAGGAAGGTTAGAATCAAATCAAAAGGCTCGTCCTTCAGAAAGCCAGACATGAGGCAAACAGTGCACGGCTAGTCTAACCTGGCTTTAGGATTTGTTCTGCTCCAAGCACCACCAGGCCTACTTCATCTGTCTGCTGTTTTCTTTATTCTGTGCAATATCAAAATGGAGAAATATCCATCACATGGGTTTAGCAAGACTCTGCTCTCAATTAACAGTGATAAAAGGGGTGTGGTGCAGCATGCATTTCGTGGAGTCACGTCTCAGAGGTTTCATGCACAAATACCTCAGCTTATGTAAAGCAGAAAAGCCCACGTGGGAAGCCTTGGAAGCCCACCTGCCATGCGGGCAGAGTCATAGGCCCGCACGAGAGGCTGCTGGTCCCACAGGGGGGACAGAATTCTCGGCTTTCAGGATCTGGAGAAATGAGAGCCCTCCTCGTCTGAATGTTCACAGAAATTGGAAGCTTGCATGAAGCCATAAACAAAATGAAAGAGAAGAGGGTGCACTTTCCCCGGGGCTCGGGTCAAGAGTCAAGTGGCCGATCAGCTAACAGCCTCTGCTCACATAGAAGTGTGCCGGCTTCCCAGGCCTCGCCTCCCACAAAGCGCTCCCATGCTTGTTTCCAACACCCTCGTTCCAGGCCTCTTTGGGGTTTAGTCACAAGCGCTTGGAGAAGCAGTTGCTTGATGAGAGCTGGCTGCGGGGAGTGTAGGAAGAGGAAGGGGGCAGGCTAGAGGCCTGGGCAGTGAGGGTGAGGATAGGAGCCACGTGGCCCTGCCCCTGGGGCAGCCTGAGCCTGGGGAGATTGTGCATCCCGCAACAGAGAGGTGTTGTCTAAGGTGCCCACCCAGTCTAAGAGGACTCCAGAAAGTCTTGAGGAAATCACGGTGTTTAGTGTTATTTGTGAACGCTGTGCAAATGCCAGTCGCTCAGCAAGCCTGTTCATTTCCACGGTGTCCATGGTAAGGCAAGGCTTCTGCAACACTGGGCATGCAGAAAAAGTACTTGGGATGCACAGGGCGGAGGGTAGCCTGCCGTGGGGCAGGGTCCCGGAAGCTGCTCCTCCCACCGTATCTCAACTCACACTTAAGAAAATAATAATAATTGTCTCTGAAAGGTATCTTGAAGGCCAAAGGCACCAGGTTTAGCCTTCTGGTAGTTTCTGGGTGTGTTCCTGACGGAGTCTACCATGGCTCCCCACTCCCACCCTCGGCAGAGTTGGGGACTCTCCTTTTCATGCTTACACATGAATATATGCTCCTGCCAGGAGCTCGGAAGTGCGGCTGGGAATAGCTTGAGGTCATTGACCTCCTGAAATCCCAGCACTTTGGGAGGCTGAGGCAGGCGGATTGCTTGAGTCCAGGGGTTTGACACCAGCCTGAGCAACGTGACAAAACCCAGTCTCTACCAAAAAAAAAAAAAATTAGCTGTGTGTGATGGTGTACACCTGTGGTCCCAGCTACTTGGGAGGCTGAGGCAGGAGGAGTGCTTGAGCCCAGGAGATTGAGGCTGCAGTGAGCAGAGGTGAGGCCACTGCACTCAGCCTGGGTGACAGAGCAAGACCCTGTCTCAAAACAAAACAAAACAAAACAAAAAGAAAAAAACCGTTGATCTGAAGAAAAAATGCCCAGAATAAATTATGAAGGCAAAAGGCAGGTTTCAAAGTGCCATATGCAGCACAATCCAATCTTTGTGAAGAAAAACAAATGTAGTGAAAAATTTGGAAATGTATATAGCAAAATCTGTGATCTTTATTTTTCTTCTTGATAAAGCTATTCCTACTATCTATCCTCCTCCAAATAATTATTTTTTTATTGCCACTGTAGTAAAACATCAAAATATGTATCACTAGATAGCAGTCTAATGTATTTCACAACAACGAGAGGTCCACAGTGCCTGGATGGCCACGTCTGAGGAGCATCGTGAATAGGTGACTACTGACCTGCAGAGGAGGGGTTGTGGAGGGACAGTGTGGTACGCAGATGTGCCTTCTCCACCCTGATTTGAGATCTCCTCGGTAACCTGGGTTATAGAGTATAATAAAGTTGGTGGATGGAAGAGCAAGAGCACAGGGAGGAGGAGCCAGAGGCAGTAAGGTCAGCTGTAGACTCGCCAAAGAGTAAGTGCCAACAACTGGCACAAGTGTGAGCTGCTAACTGTCAAGCTGTGAGTGTGGGGGGAAGAGAGGGGGCTGGAGTGGACACATACACATATTTCTTGACTACGAGGATGTGTAAAAAAAGAAGAGACTGGCAAATGTATGATGGTCTTCTGTCTTTCTGTCAGATGGGCCAGGCTTCGCCCCTGGGCTGTGGTCTACAGTCTTATAATCAAAGCAAGTGATAACACCTGGGGTGAAAGCCCACAGGGCTGGAAGCTACAATAATGACATGTGTAAGCATGAGCTCTGGGGCAAAAAGCCTTTCCATCTCTTTCTATTTTATTTTGTTATTTTTTAAAGATAGAGTCTCTCTCTGTTGCCCAGGCTGGAGTGCAGTGGTGCAGTCTCAGCCCACTGCAACCTCCAACTTTATTCTCCTGCCTCGGCCTCCACAGTTAGCTGGGATTATACGTACCCACTACCACACCTGGCTACCTTTTGTATTTTTACTAGAGATGGAGTTTCACCATGTTGGCCAGGCTCATCTCAAACCTCTGACCTCAAGTGATCTACCTGCTTCAGCCTCCCAGAATGTTGGGATTACAGGTGTGAGCCAGTGCACCTGGCCTAAAAAAGCCTTTCAAAAGTATCTCTGGAGCAAAAAGCCTTTCAATAGTAGTTCTGGGGCAAAAAGGCTTTCAGTATCTTAGTTGAAAGGAGAAAGGTTGGGACACTTAATAAAAATATTTAAAATAGGACCAATGAGTACAGAAAATAATATACTCTCAACATACCATCACCTAGATTTAGTAAATTAGGTTCAGATATTTTTTAGGGAATGAAAACTGCAGATAAAATCGAATTGCCTGTGACTTTCTGATGTCATTCTCTTCCTTCCCTCACTGAAAAGTAACCACACAGAAATTAGTTCATTATGTTTTTGTACTTTTACCATAGATAATATCGACACGTTCCTCAGACACACAAATATTCTTGATGAGATATAGCAGGATATAATAGTGTTTGCATAAAATAATGATGCTTGCAAGCAGCTCCTCTCTTGTAGGCAATATTAATTTGATTTTTTTAAGTTCTTTATACCCATGAGGAGTGAAAAAAATCACATTTTGAAGAGAAGTCTTATCTACTCGTACATTTACAAGTTAAAGGAAATAAGAGACTCCTTTGGCAAAAGACATATTATACCAATTTTAAATAATTGGTTTAACATGTTCTGCAATTTGCTTTTTTCCCCACTTGACATTATGTTTTTGACATTCATTCATGATGAAGTATGCTGCTTTAGCTCATTAACTTGCACTCCTGTGTAATAAGCATAGTATTCTACTGTATAAATATACTATAATTTACCCATTTACTGTTAATAGACATTTTGATTTTTGCCTTTTCTTCTGAAATAAACAATGCTACAATGAGTATTTGTATACATGTCCCGTCAAGTGAGAGTTTCTCTAGCATGGAACCACGAAAGCAACACCGCTCAGGGGGAGGATACATGCCTATCTTCCCCTTAACCAACTGTTGCCAAATGTCTTTCAAAGTCCTTGAGCCAGTTCACACCTCTGCCAGCAGTTTGTGAGTTCCCATTTCTCTACATCTTCATCAATACTTTTGACTATGAAATAAAGTAAATCATTTTTCTCATGACTAGTGAATAACCATGTTTTCATCTATATAGTCTATTCAGTTTTTCTTTTCTCTGTTTTATCCATTTATATCCTTTGCTCATTTTTTCTGTTGGCCTGTTTATAGCTTGCTGATTTGTATGAATTTTTTACACATACTAGGTTCTGGTTATCTAAATTGCAAATCTTTTCCCAACTGGTGGCTTGTCTATTCACTTTGTTTATGGTAACTTTTCATATAAAAAATTTGGGGACCAGGTGCAGTGGCTCATGCCTGTAATCCCAGCACTTTGGGAAGCCAAGGCAGGAGGATTACTTAAGCCCAGGAATTTGAGACCAGCCTGGGCAACAAAGAGAGACCCTGTCTCTACAATCAGTCAACAAACCAATCAATAAAAATAAAACATTAGCGTGGTATGGTGGGGCACTCCTGTAGTCACTGCTACTCAGGAGGCTGAGGCAGGAGAATTGCTTTAGCCCAGGAGTTTGAGGCTACAGTGACCTGCTGTCACACCACTGCACTCCAGCCTGGGCGACAGAGTAAGACTCTGTCTCTAAAAATGAAAATGTGTGAATAAACAAAGTTTCCCTAATTGTAGCCAAATACATCAGTCTTTCTCTTTCAGTTTTGGGTATGTTTATATGGCAAAAGATATTTTCCTTCTTTTTTTTTTTTTTGAGACAGAGTCTTGCTTTTGTCGCCCAGGCTGGAGTGCAGTGGCGCCATCTTGGCTCACTGCAACTTCTGCCTCCAGGGTTCAAGCAATTCTCCTGCCTCAGCCTTTTGAGTAGCTGGGACTACAGCTGTCCCCCACCACACCCGGCTAATTTTTCTGTTTTTAGTAGAGACAGGGTTTCACCATGTTGGCCAGGCTGGTCTCGATCTCCTGACCTCAGGTGATCCTCCTGCCTCGGCCTCCCAAAGTGCTGAGATTAGAGGTGTGAGCCACTGCACCCGACCTATATTTTCTTCCAAATGTTTTAAAGTTTTGTTTTTGCATTTAGATTTTTCATACCTTAGACAGTAATCTATTTTCTTCTGTGCTGAGCGTTAATTTTCCAAGCACCGGCTTGCTGAGTAGCCTGTCGTTTCTGCAGTGTATCACGCCGGCTCTGCAGTAGACCAAGTCTCCATATGCCTGAGCCTGCTTTCAGATGCTCTGTTCTGTTCCATTTCCTTTTTCTGTGTGCTTTGCAACATTTACTTTTTTGCAGGGCAAATCTCCCAACTATTTTCTTCTTGAATTTTTATGTTCTTAGGCTCAGAAATGTTTATGAAAACTGGTCACTGGTTTCTGTTTCCTTTAGGGCTATGACAAAGTATCAGTTAGGAATCTTTCTCTTACAGGGAACAAAAAGTGCTTCTGACTATTTTAAGCAAAAAGAAGGGGGGGTGACGGGAAGAATTTTTTCACAAGGATATAAGGCTCATAGAATTGGCAGGAGACTGAGAGATCTGGCTTAGAAAATGGGTCAGATGCAAGGCAGTGCCAGGAGAGGAAGCAGAAGGAAGCCTAACCACAAAGCAGCCTGGAACATGGCGGTGCCAGCGCCCTCCACCGTTGGCTCACTGGCTGCAGAGTGGACCCTCAGGTGGATATAACTGAACTGACTTTAGAAGTCTTACCTTTTAACATTAGAAGTTGCCCGACAGAGAGCGTGATTTTATGTGATATTGTTGATGCTGAACTACCATGGTTTTTTTTTTTTTTAACTAACCAAAAGACACTGAAATCATGCCATAATCAAGGATGATTGATTTGTTTATTATTTGGCTTGACTTGTTCCTCTGTGTCTTAGGTCGACAAATAAATTCATATCAACGGCATCAAATGATTTTTATATAAGTTCAAATAGTGGGTCTTGGTCCTGGCTATGTATTAGAATCACCTGGAAAGCTTTCAAAACTTATTGGTCCGCTCAACCCTCTTAAGACCGATTAAGTCAGAATCCCTGGTGTTGGGACCTGAGCTTCGATATTTTTTCAAAGCTCTGCTTCCCCTATCCAGTGATGCTCACAGGGAGACAGTGCTGAGGGTTGTTGGGCTAACGGCAAACAGTTGTGCTAACACCAATTGCAAGTGAGATTGCTTCCATATCCATACCGTTCCTCCATGTTTGGTTTGTACGGTAGCACATCATACAGACTCAAAAGAGGCATTGACAGATTGGAATCTATTTCAAACTTGCATACTTCATAGATGGAAACAAAGGCTTGTAAAAGATCGACATGTTCTTCAGACACACAAATATTCTTGATGAAATATAGCAGGATATAACAGTGTTTGCAGGCAATATTAATTTGATTTTTTTAAGATCTTTATATACATGAGGAGTGAAAAAAATCACATTTTGAAGAGACGTCTTACTGACTCATAGATTTACAAATTTGAGGAGATAAGAGACTCCTTTTGCAAAAGACATAATACACCAAACTTTATTTTCATCAGGAGAAAACTATGCTGATAGACTTAATTACAGTAAACAGTTCAGCAATTAGGATCTATCACTCCGAGCACGATCTGAGTGATTTCAATAGCAAGAGAGCTGCTCCTGAGGCATATTTGTCTTCTTCAAATTTGAGTGATTTAATTCTTTAGATTGGTTGGAGTTCCTGGCTTTCAAAAGAAGGAATTCTTGGAACCATTCTAAAGAGGTCTTTGGATGACTTCAGAGTAAACCTTAAATCAATCATAGATGAAGATCTATGCTTCTATAATGTTTCTAAAAGCCATATTTTGATCAGCATTCTCAGGTATACATATGTTACTGATCCTAAGCATAAGTCCAATAACTGTACCCACTGGTGAGCCGCAGATGTTCAATAACCAGCTCTGGGCTGGGCTTGTCAGCTCACGCCTCTAATGCTTTGGGAGGCCAAGACTTGTCTGGGTGACATAATGAGACCAACATACTGAGACCATGTTTGTACAAAAAAAAAAAATGGGGTGTTGTAGTGTGTGCTTGTAATCTTAGATACTTGAGGGGCTGAGGCACAAAGATTGCTTGAGTCCAAGAGTTCAAGGTTATAATGAGCTATGATCACATCACTGTATTCCAGCCTGGGCAACAGAGCAAGACCTTGATTCTGAAAAACATTAATAATAATTTTAAAAATACAGCTAGTGCTCGACTTACGACCACGATTGGTTCCGACAGACCGGCCGTAACACGATTTGGTCGTAAATTGAGTAGGCTATATGCACGCGGAGATGGTAGTGCTGCCGGAAGCTGGTCCGCACTGTCGTAAGCCCAGCTGGGCAACGTTTGTGCTGCCAGATGCGGAGCAGTCGTGGCTAGCGATTGTGGTCGTAAAGTCGAATGGTCGTAAGTTGCATAGATCGTAAGTCGATCAATACCTGTAATCAGCTCTATTGAGGAAAGAGTCCTGTTATGTAGTAGTTGCTTACTTCTATACTGCAAACACTACCACCTATGGCAAGTTGATTTCAAGCTACGAAAATGAGGTCACTTAACATGGCGTAGGGAAGACTTGCACAGATGCGCACCATTGTGTAATAACTCCTTTATACAGATACAATAGATAGAAATATTATCTATTTAATTATAATAAATAGATAATAGTAATAGATCATAAAATAATTAGGAGGGGATCCATTTTGAATATCAATTCCCTCTGCTTTTAATATAATGTATTTAATTAAATTTTATATAGTTTAATTTTTAATGGACTTTATTTTTTAGAAGAGTTTTAGGTTCACAGCAAAACTGAGCAGAAAGCGCAGAGAGTTCCCATATATGCCCTGCAACTTCTCCCACAGCTCCTTCTATCCCACTATCATATCCTACACCATGTGGTACATTTGTTACAACTGATAAGCCTACACAGATTCATGATTATCATCCAAAGTCCATAGTTTGCATTAGTATTTACCGATAAATGCATAATGATATGTATCCTCCATTATGGTATCATAAAGGCTAGTTTCACTACGCTAGAAGTCTGTGCTCTGCCTTTTCATTCCTTCCTTCCCCAAACCCTGGGAACCACCAATCTTTTAATTATCTCTATAATTTTTCTTTTTTCAGAATGTCAGATAGTTACAATCACATAGTTTATAGTCTTTTTAGATTGGCTTTTTCTTTCACTTAGTAATATAGACTTAATATTCCTCCGTGTCTTTTCATGGCTTGGTAGCTCATTTCTCCTTAGTGCTGAATACTATTCCACTGCCTGGATACAATTTGTGTATCCATTTGCCTCCATTTCTTTGTTTCCAGATTTTGGCAATTATGAACGAAGCTACTATAAACATCTGTGTGTATTATAAGCTTTTAGGTAGACAGAAGTTTTCAGCACGTTTGGGGAAGTACCACAGTGCAATTGCTGGCTACATAGTTTTATTTTTAACAATGGCTGTGTTTAACAATCACCTTGGAACATTTCTGGAAATTTAACAAGAGGCTCTTATCCACTGGTGTGAGCCAGTGTTGGCATATCACCGCATCATAATCACACCCCTACCCTTCCTTCAAGTTGGGCTTAATACAAATTCAAATGAGTTTTAGGGGGGCTCCAACTGAAGTCCATCTGTGATATGTCTTTAAAATGTTGCCTTTGTATGTGTATATGTATATATGTTCCAGTGGGTTTATTAAGTCAAAAAATAGCCTGGTTGGTTCTCAGCCTTCCAACAAAAGCGAGTCAAAGCCAGTATCAGGATTTTTTGCTCCCTCCTGTAAACTAAAAATAAAACGCTAAGCTCTTCCACCAACAGAATGGACCCCCTTGTAACCAAAGAGACCCCAAGAAAACCTTAAAACTGAGTTCCCAGCCACAAACGGACAGGAGGTCAGATATACCTTGTTATGCCCCTCACCTTTTTTCTTTTTAGACACAAAAATTGACCAGCATTAATGTTAAAATAGGGATCATAAGACTGACAGAATGGACTTTTTGTGGCCATAGGATATCAAATTATAAACAAGACCTAGGGCCATACCAAGCAAAGAGTTAAGTCACACACACCACACACACAATATTTAAAGAATAAACTAGATTCTAACTGCCACAAGGTTTTCCTTTTCTCCTGCAGCTAAACGATCACTGGCCTCAAGATGAGCAAGATTAAAACAATTACAACTCACAGACGCTAAGTAACTGACCCCTGCTCCACCAGCCGTAACTATAGCTTTGATTGGATGAGAGACTGACTCCTGTAACTTTTTCCTGATAAGAGACCACCAACCACAAACTGGTTCTGGCTGGTTTGCAGAAGGTAAATTCATCCGCCTTCATGTCCTGAAAAGACCT